CAGTTAGCGTAATGGCTATGTTGCTGGATTCCCACATAGTCAACCATGGTTCGCGTCCCAGACCTGGTGGCTTAAAACTCACGCCGGGCGTGTGAGTGTGCGCGTGCCCAAGATCCCGAGAGGAGAATGGAGGAGAAGGGATTGCGGCATGACCATTCCCCCTGGGGGGTGATTTCTCGCTTTCTGTCTCTACGTCTCTCTGTCTGTCTGGCGAGCCCATGCGCCCTATAGCGAAAACCTCTAAAAAAAAAAATTTAATTATTGGAGTTATTACGTGTGCCATTACTCATAAAATACATGTTCCAGGACCAGTCCCATGGCCTAGTAGTTAAGGTAGCCAGATACCACGCGGCTAACCACACAGTTCAAATCTCGGCCCCCGAGCTTGAAAAGAACACCAGGAACACGTGCACGTGTGCTCAAAATCCCCAAAGGAGAGATCAATGGCAAAGGGATTGTGGGGTGACCATGCCCCACTGGGGGTACTTTCTCCCTCTCCCTCTTTGTATTTTCTTCCTCTTCCTCTATTTCTGGCAAACCACGTGCCCCTCTGGCTTATAAACAAAACAAAACAAAAAAATGCTCCAGAGTTTGTAACTTCAAAGGTCTCGGGTGATAGCCCTGTGTTTCTGCATCCTGTGTTTCAGAGACATCACAGATCTGTGAGAGAGCTGGGCATGCACTTTAGAGGGAAAGCCCCCTAATCCTCCTTTCCCCGACCACTCGTGTCTTTTGCTGAGCTTCCAAATATGCTTCCCTACTCTGTTTTTCAATCCTTTCTTATTGCCTCCTCCTGGGCCATGCCCAGTTCTTGGGGAAAGAGACTAGTCTAGCATCTTCCATGGTGCTTGGCACAGAAGTACTCAAGTAAGTAAACATTTAGTAGTAAGTGATAAACCGTACAGCCAGGCCTGGTGGTATGCACCTATAGTCTGGCTACATGGGAGGCCGAGACAGGAGGATTATGAGTTTGAGGTTAGCCTGAGCTACACAGAAAACCCCTGTCTCAATAAATAAATGCACCCTAAACTAACTGTAGCTCTCTTCTGTAAACAATACTGAAATTCTCCTGGTTTTCTTTGATTGCAATTATTTTATTTTGTGAAAGATGGGGAAATGGGAAAATAGGAGAATAAAAGTATGTTTCTTTTAAAGCACATTAGTCCATATGCAGATATATGGATTATGCTGTTACATAAATAAGCCATACTTCTTTAGCCTTTGATATAAGCCAATATATTCTAGACATTTTTGTTGTTTGTTTGTTTGGTTTGGCTTTTGCCATAGGGCACTTGCACTTGCCAGAGAGAGACAGAGAGGGAAAGTGAGAAATCTCTCCCAGGGAGGATGGCCATGCTACAATCCCTTCTCCATTCTTCTCTTGGGATGTTGGGCACACACATACACGTGCCCAGCATGATTTTCAAGCCACTGGGTCCAAGACTCAAAGCGCAGTCCACCATGTGCGAGTCCAGCACCTTAAACACGCACCTGCTGGCCCCACCTAGATGTTTTTAAACAGACTTAATTTTTTAAAGCAGTTTTAGTTTCACAGCACAATTAAGCACAATGTACATTAAATTTCCACATCCTCTCTGTTCACAAATCCTCATGACCTCCTGCACAACTAGAATCCTGCACCTGAGTGGTACATTTGTTACCCTCGCTGAACCTACATTTCACATCGTGAGAACCCTGAGTAAGGGTGACACTGTAGAGACCCATGCTATAAGTTTCGACAGACATATAAAGATACGTACCCACAATAATGGTATCATACAGAATATTTTTACTACGCTAAAAATCCTTATACCACACCTGTTCTTCCCTTCTCCCTTCTAACTCCTGGCAACCACTGATTTTTTTTCTGTCAATTCCTTTCCAATCTAAAAAATATATTTTTATCATTTGGTGTAATGACTAAATTGTACTACACTTTGTTTAGTAACATACTTCACTAATGCATTGTTGATCAATGTGAGCTTTGGAGGTTTTGGGGGTTTGTTTTTTGGAATTTTTTTACTCTTGGAAAAATGTATGCAATCAATAGCCTTGGTGCACACTGTCCCACACGTTTCTGATGATCTCCTGAAGCTATCTAGAGGGACCGGCAAAGGCTGGGGCAAAGAGTGTGAATCATTCGCATTTGGAGACATAGTACAAAAATCCCTTGAAGAAATGTCATACCTACTCATAGTTCATGAGATTGCCTAGATCCTTGCGGGCACTGGGTTTTATCTCTATATGTAAAATTTTAGCATTTATTTTTTAAGCCCATGCTAACCCTCTCTCTTCTTTTACTGTGGATGCCAACCTGAAAGAATTGCAGAACAACTTCCTGTAGTAATGTCACCTGCTGGCTTAGAGACCTTCACCTGAAAGGAGAATACTTCATTAATGTGTCTACCAGAATCTGGAACAGGACTTTCGCATCAGTAAGTGTCAGCTTTATTTATTTCATTTATCAATAGCAAGGAGACATACACTTTGATTGTCAAGTTCTTACCCTTTGACAAAATTAGTATTCTGGCTAATGTTAGTGGTGTCCTAATGCCTAGGAGCAAATTCTACGCTGAAAGGTACTATGCTTCCATCACTTTCTAAGCTTGCCTTATCTGACTGTGCCTCAGAATCACCTCCGTGCTTGTGAAAGGGTCTTTTTCTTAGCCACCAAGCCAACCTACCACATCTGTGGGAATGGTCTCAAGGTCACCTGTGCTGCCTCTGGTCATGATGGGCCATCTGCTTTGTCTCCCTCATGCTGTCTATGCTTCCTTTTCCCAGACTTCTCTACCACACCCAACCCAAAATGCACCTGTCCCTGTCTCGTTCCTTGAGCACTCAGCTAACTGATTGATCTCAACCCCAGTAGATGAATAAGGATCTGCCTTCCTATGTTAAAGCCAAGTATCCACTCTGCTCTCCTGTTTTACCCTGTCTGATGAAAGAGCCCAGGGAGCAAACACATTTTTAAGCCATTTTAATCTTATGAAGAGTTTGAAGTGCCAAAACCATGTCAGTTTTTCCACATGGCGATTGTGAGTCCACTGCAGTGGTATTTGCTTTCAGTAGGGATTTTGGTAGCCAGAATTTCAGTCTGGCATGAAAACTATAAGGAGAGACAGACCTCCTTAAATCTGACTGCTGGAGTGGTGAGCCATCCCTTTACCAATACTGGCAAATGGAAATTAGCCTGAAATCTCCTGGGGGTCTTTGTGGCTCTCAGTGGATTTTGTAAATAGATAAGTCAGTTCCCAAAGTGGTTTAAGGCAGATTTCCATTCCTATATTTTTCACCTTTTCATGACCTATCCAATAAATGCCTTTTGCTGCTGTTGAGTTTAGCATGAGATTAGCGAACTGAGCTCCCTCTGAACTTGTTCCTGGAAATGAAATATACTTGTTTGGAATAAAGCCATAATAGAAAAAGGAATAGGAAAGATTAAAAACAAACAAACAAAAATACAGAATTGGGATAATGAAGAGGTGGGTTTTTTTGGGTTTTGTTTGTTTGTTTGTTTTTATTTTTGTTTTCTTAGTAGCATATGCTTTCAAGCCTTCAAGGCAGTTCTAAAGCCTGTAAGATGCAAAGCATGATGTGAGTCACAAATCTTCTCAGCTGCTGCGGCGTGGGGCTCAGTTTTACCAGTTGGTTCTTGGATTCTTGGATTTGAGGAAAAATGTCTTCAGAGCAAATTTGGCCAACTGGGAAAGAAAACTGACTTTTGCACATCAAAATGCAATCACGCCAGCTCTGTAAAAAGCATTTGGTTTTCTTGAGTTTGTTTAAAGCTACATCATTTAAACCTTAAGATTTTTTTTTAAAAGTCTTTTTCCAAGAGCCTTCAGAAGCAGCTTCATTTCTGGCAGCCAACTTCTAAGGATTTGAATTATTTATGCTTTTTCAACATGGTTATGGTGGTTAAACTGAGAAAACACCCTTGAGAGTTATTGTATGTTAAGTTCTACATGGCTTCCTCCTTCTTGAAAGGTTATATGTTTATCCCCACCTTATGCTCGGTTATTTCAACAGTGAAGTGGATGTACTCAGACCACCTAGGAGATCCAGCCTGAAATACGGATCTCATTTCTGGTATTAGAGCACACTACTGTACTGCCTTTCGCTGCCACCTTTTTTCTGATGTAGTGCTAGTCACTTACCATTTCAGGTCCTCTTGCCACAAAGTGATTGCTCAGGCTTCACTAGGACAGCAGCATTGGCTGCCATTTGGAAGGCAGATGAGTGCTGGCAGGTGTGTTACCTCACTCTCCCAGACATGCAAAGAATATCTACCTTACTCTGCAGGATATTGTGCACCTGTGAGAAAGACCTGATTTATGAGCACAGATATGCCAGTGTCATAAAAACAAAAAAATTCTTTCATCTTTAATCTACAGGGACTGTGAGACTAGCACTCACTTATCTGCTATTTTGTCTTTAACTTAAGCCATTATCATGACTCTTAATGTTCCCTCTGATGAAGTATGTTCAACCAGTGATCAGGGTTAACTTCTGATGCAAGCTTCCATCTTGAGAAAATTAAGAGCAACCAGAGACTGAGCCAGTGGAAAGGAAATAAATTGCTCACTTTTTGGAAATGCATTCTCTCGTTCTGGCTCCTAGATATAGTTCAGCAAATTACTTCATGGAGTATGTTGAATTGTGTGCCCTGGTAACCAGAAAACTGAGCCCTAATAGGCAGAGCATGTGAATGCAGCTCTAAAATCAGAGCGTTGTATTCCATTTCAAAGTAAGCATCAGGCCCAATATTTGCATTATAGAGAAAACACGTTTCCATTGAAAGTAGATTCTTCTGTAAATAGACTGAAGAATGCACATAAAGTTATTTCATATTAGGAGGTTGCTAGTAACATCAGCATAAAATTTATGTCAAAATTTACTAGTTTCTGATGGAAACACTAACACTATGAAGCCTGAAATTTATGCCTATTGTGATGTAACTTGACAAAAGGCTCAGGGTGTCTGCTGCTGACATGCATGGTCAAGTTCAAGCGTACGTTGATGCAATATTTTACGTACTTGGACCCAAAAGAAAAATTCTCTTCCCTTTGAAATGTTGGCTTTCCATTCTGTTATAGAACTTAATTAGGGCAAGTGTATAAAAATGCTTAGTTTGCAATTTTCTCTCATTTTGCCAACTTCATTCTTAAACATGATACTTTCTAATGAAAAGCATTGGCTTTCAAACCTCTGTTTTTCAACCTCATTTTCAAGTTTGAATCATTGAGGAAGGTAGTTTAACCTGCTGATGTCTTTTTTCTTTTTTTTTTTTTTTTTTGAGAGATTTTCACTGTAGGGCGCGTGCCCTTGCCAGACAGACAGAGAGAGACATAGAGACAGAAAGCGAGAAATCATCCCCCAGGGGGGATGGTCATGCCGCAATCCCTTCTCCTCCATTCTCCTCTCGGGATCTTGGGCACGCACGCACACGCGCCCGGCGTGAGTTTTAAGCCACTGGGTCCGGGACACGAACCGCGGTCGACTATGTGGGAGTCCAGCGACATAGTCATTACGCTAACTGCCGGTTCCCAACCTGCTGATGTCTTGACCCCACCCCAGAGATTTAGTTCAATTTGCAGTTGGAAGGCCCAATCATCTTCACATTTTAAAAGTTTCCCCGGTCCTTCTGGACAGTCCTGTTATACAGCTCTGGTTTAAGCCCACGGAGATTTTTGAGTCTTCAGAACTGGCATTTGCTTTTGTCACTTTCCACAAAGAAGGAAGTGCATGAACAATAAACATGCAGTATTTTCTGCATTTACTACTGCTAGAATAAAATACACCCTTGGGCTGCTCTGTTGCACAGTAGTTAAGCTCTGTGCTTTGGGAGCTGGGTCCCATATAGCTGACTGTGGTTTGAATTTCAGCCCTGGAGGCTTAAAAACATGCCAGATACATGTACATACATGTCCCCAAATCCTGGCAGGATGCACAAATGGAGAGGAATTATAGCACACTCCACTGAGGGGCACTCTCTCTTTCTGTCTCTCTTACTCTCTCTGTCTCTCTGTAGTAAGTGCACGTACTCTCAGGCAATTAAATTAATTTAAATACATTCTTTATTCTTCTGTTCCAGTCAAACTTCCAGACGGTACAGCTGACAGCAGCTGCAGAAATAGACACCTATAACCCTCAAATATATGTGATTGAAGAAAACATAGTAACGGTAAGCAAGTCACATCCCTCCTCAGGGGCATTAGAATCTCCGATAGGCATTCCATCTCTAAGAATTTAGGATCATCACTCTTGCCACCTACATCTTAGAGTTTCATCTCACGGAAACTCTAAAATTCTGATGTTTAGTATGTTGAAATTTTGGCAAGGGTGTTTATTACCCCCAAATTCTGGTGATTTACTTGTCCTCTGTGTTCTTCATGTTGGCACCACTTCCTAGAAGTGATGATGCAGTGAGAAGCCCAACAAAAAGGCTTCTATCTTGCTTGAGGCACCATGGTTTCCCCTTCTTCAGGCCTAACCAGAACCCCAGTTCTTCCTTTTTCTTCATGCTCACACAAAAACCTCTAGAAATTAAACCATAAATTCCAAACCATGATCATTTAATTTCTAAAGTATATTTGAGGGTATTTTTTAAAAGATAAGTACTGAAGTGTGGTTTATAAATAAAGCATGTATTAGAGGGTTTCTTTTTTTTTTTCTAATAGACTTCTTATAGCTAAACACTGATACTGTGTGACATGCCCATTCATTAGGTCTAGCACTCTACAAAACTACAAATGCTCCCCAAAAAAAAAAAAAAAAAAAAAAAGTTTTGCAGAGAAATGTACTTTCACAGAAAACAAAGGCTCTCTGTCCCAAGAGTTGGCACAAGACAATTTTCCTTTACACTGAAACTCTGGTTAGGATATGCCATATTTAGATATAGCAGGGGTTTCATGCCGAGCTAATCTGCTGGCAAAGCCCAGAGCATTTTCCTCTCAATGCTTTTGTTAGGAGTTGGGAGCGAGACTCCGCTCCAAAGGCCAGCTTGGCAGTTGGCCACAATCCACTGTTCCAGCCTAGAGACCTGGTTAAAAAGCCAGTGACCCCATGACCTCTGGACCTCTCTCAGCGCCTGGGAGAAGAGCCACAGAACTGCTGCCCTGCTCTTGTCCGAGGGAAAGTGGTTCCACAAAATAGAGGGCACTTTTCTGATTCTGGTTTGGGAGCCTCAGTGAAAAATCCACACCCTGTCCTCAGAGGCTGCAGCCTGGAAAGGCAGAAAGGGAGCCAAAGGAAATGCAAACTTCACAAAGTGCTGTGAACTTAGCCTAGCGGGAAAGGACCACAGATTTCCTTAAAAGCTCACTTAAAAAACATGTAATTGTTGAGACATGATGCAAAACCCTGCAGAAGTCTTCATTGTTTTTAGAGAACAGTATTAAATATATGAATTGAAAATTTATATTAAAAATATTAATGAACCCACTGGATTTTTGTTTTCTTGGTTTTCTCTGAGCAATACCAATAATAAACAGAAGCCAATGATTGCTTAATTGTGTCAGTGAAAATGGTTTTTGAACCAAACAATAATTTGGTTATTTTTTGGAATAAGAGTTTGAAGCTACATAATACATGCAGGTAGGTCAGTGCCGTGCCACTTATTTGGATCCCAGACCCACTTGAAAACCGGACACACAGTATTTTGTGCTCGTAGGCTCATAGGAAGCTCTAGAATAGAGACTGGTAGGCATGCCACTGCCCTTAAGTAGTAGATGATATGAATTTATAGCCACTTTATTCATACATTTATAAAGCCTTATTTGAGATCTTGCAGATACAAATGAAAGAAATACAGTTCCCAAAGCCAGTTTCAAGTTTAGCCTCGCCCATAAATTACAGGACAAAAAGCAGCTCGCCTGCCAATTGTTGTGTTAATAAGATTTCGTCCCTCTCTTTGCCCCAAAATACAACTCTTTAAGAACTTATTCTGCAGGAAATGGTTGAGACAACCTTCCTAAATTAAAAAATTGAATATGCAGTTTTACTGCTAAAACTTTTAGGGGAGTGATCCCAATAGAGCATCACAGAGATTGCCGAGTGCCAGGAAGAATCACGAATAGTCCCAAGGATGGTTTTACCACTGAGAAGATCAACCTGACCCCCTGGTATATTATTTTTACTTTTTCAACAACTAATATCCACCTTGAATGAGATTTAAGTAAAAGCAATCATTTAGAGACCCAGTACAAAGTTGTTGCCGCTGTTGGTGATTAATAGCGATGAAGTTGGATTAATTCATTTGTTCTTTGCCTCCCCCTACCCCCGCCAAAGCTGGTTGTTTTCAACTGATGATGGTTTCAGTTGATGATAGAAATGGATGCCCAAAACAGACGTTCCTATTTCATAAATAGAGTACCAGAGCCTGTCAGACATGGCATAGCTACAAAACACTGATGCAGTTAAATGGTAAACTAGAAACCTTGTATTCCTTATCTGCATTCTGCAGGAGGGGCTTTTTCTCAAAACGGTTTTAACACATGTTCTACATGGGGAATGCCATTGTGAGCAAGTTGTGTCACCTTTCTAGAGCTATGGACCTTCCTTGGTAGAGTTAACGAACCAGGGACCAGCAGTTAGCGTAATGGCTATGTCGCTGGACTCCCACGTAGTCGACTGCAGTTCGAGTCCTGGACCCGGCGGCTTAAACTCACGCCGGGCGCATGTGCGTGTGTGCCCAAGATCCAAAGAGGAGAATGGAGGAGAAGGGATTGCGGTGTGGCCATCCCCCCTGGAGGATGATTTCTCGCTTTCTATCTCTCTGTCTCTCTCTGTCTTTCTGGCAAGCGCACGCGCCCTATAGCGAAAACCTCTCCACAAAAAAAAAAAAAAAGAAGAACCAGACTGAACTATCTCACTAGTTTTGTTAGAAAAATAAAAATGAGGTAATTCAGCTGTGAACATACATTTACAGATTCCCCTTATGATCATGAAACCTCATGAGAAAGCAGAGGTCCCAACAGGAGTTATAGTTGGAAGTATCATTGCTGGAATCCTTCTGCTGTTAGCACTGGTTGCAATTTTATGGAAGGTAAGAACAATTTCGTATTTTAAAATACAGGGCTTCTGAAATCCTGTCTTGAATTGTCTTACAAAATAGCAATCCTGGGGCCTGCAGGTGGCATAGTGATTATGGCACTGAATTCCCACATTGCTGACTGAGGTTCAAGTCCTGGACCCAGTGGCCTGAAATTTATGCGAGGACCATGTATGTGCATGCCCAAAGTCCTGGGTGGAGAGACTGTGGCATGGCCGTCTCCTGGGGCAGAGGGGCAGGGGTGGAAGGAGGGAGTTCTCACTTTCTCTCTCCAGTAAGCATACATGCCCTGTAGCAAAAAAAAAAACTCTCAAAAACAAAACAAAACAGCAACCTTGGTTTTGTATAGTACCTTCACTATCACGAAGGAAAAAGAAATGAAAGCTTGCTTATAATTTCGCACTTATGTCCTGCAAATAACGAATGGAGGGATTTTATTTTCTTAAAAAATTTTCCCCATTCATCCAGAGCCCAGAAGACATTGTTCACCTTAAAAAAAAAAAAAAGCTTACATTCATCCAGGGCCCAGAAGATCATCCTTTGAATAAGTAGACTCTGAGAAGTTTAACTTCATACAACTCAACTGAACTCTCTGGATTAAATTTCTTAGTAAAGGGGTGATAGATACTAGGTCTGCAGCCTGCACATCACATTCCAGAGCCTCAGAAGTTCCCAGGGGTGTGTTAGAGAAGCGGGCAGCAAAGGGGATTAAAGGCGTATTACAGAAAAGGCCATGGGGCCGGACAGTGGTGCACTGGTGAAGCCCGATGCTCTCCAAGCTGACCCCTGTTGGGGGGAGGGTTCTGTTAGTGACCAGAGACCTTTGTGAGTACACCAGGCATGCATGTGCCCATGAGCTGGACTGCCTGGGGCTAGTTGTGGATTGTAGTGTCAAGACCCTATGAAGGAGAAACCAGCAGATGGCATAATGGTTACATCGCTGGACTCCCATGTGCCAACCACAGTTCAAGTCCCAGACCTGGAGGCTTGAAACTCATGCCATGTGCATGTGCATGTGCATGTATGCCCAAAATCCCAAGAGGAGAATGGAAGAGAAAGGACTGTAGCAAGGTCATCTCTTCTGGGTGGGATGGGCGATTTCTTGCTTTCTGGCTTTCTGTCTGTCTGGGGAGCACACATACCCTATAGCAAAAATCTCTCTAAAAAAGAAAAAGATCATTAGGGATGCACTTTCTCTCTGTATCTCTCTTGCTCATGGAAGAGAGAGATAAACTTTTAAAAAAAGCAAGCTAAGTCATGGCTGCTAACATGTCTTATGGCACCCCTTTTACAGCTTGGCTTCTTCAAAAGAAAATATGAGAAAATGACCAAAAGTTCAGAAGAAATTGATGAGACCACAGAACTCAACAGCTGAGTGGCCCAGCGAATGTCACCGCAGTGGCAGCCAGCAGCAGCCCAGCAGGGTCTGCTGTACGCCTGTATGGATTTCTTTTTAAATCCTGGTTTTTTAGTATCTACTGGGTCTAGCTTGATATTTTATCTTAAGAGAAACTGCAGGTCGGTTTGGAATTAAGAAATTGGGGGGGGCTTGGGTATAAAGAATTAAAATTTCTTTTATACAGGGGGTGGGGGGGGAGGGAGAATACTCTTTAAACTGGCTGGTCCAGAGTTTACATTGTAATGTGCATTGTGTTCGAAACATGAAGTGTTTCCAAGCTTGACAAGTTTTAAAGAAAAATGTGACATTTTTTCAGATTTTGGGGAAAAAATGCTTTCTTTGAAATGATTGTTTTTCAACAGCAACAAGAGTAGAAATACTTGGTATAATAAATATAATATATGTAGTAGACCCGATATATATATATATATATATATATGTATGTGTGTGTGTGTGTGTGTATAAGTTCATGAAAAATAGAATTAAATTATGAGTTTATTTTGGTGAAAAGTTTTTAATTCTATGCAGCTTCTTTTTCATAATTCACATTTTCCACAAGCTTTTTGAGGACTATGCACACACAATGCCAGGTACTACCATATATAGATATATATAACCAGAACATACAGCAATATTAACAAGAGAGGAAAAAAGCAACAAGGGTCTTTTCTCAATTTATGCTGCTCATCCAAAGTCGCCACAGAAGATACTTTTAAGTGATGATTTTATTTATAAACTAGGTCAAATTTGTGTTCCTTTTTGCCCAGGACAGCCTCTTCAGAGTCTCATCTTGCTACAATGGTCAAAACATGTTGTAATAACCTATAGTTCTGCCTCCTACTGAGGAACTCTCCATTTGCTTGGGGGAGTGGGGGCAAGGCACAAAATATTGCATAAAATTATAGTATGATAACATTTAAGAAAAATCTGTGGAGGCCTAGCCTGTACCGGAGGAAGGAAAAGTAGGACATTTCCTCTTTAAGTTTGCATGGCCTTTCTAAATACTTGATTTTGGATGGCAGAGAGCTAGTGAGGCATAGAAAGCTAAGAGTTACGCTGTCCTTCCTTCTCCTTCCTGAACCACCCCCCACCTCCTGGTGCTCCGTGTTTTAGAAGCCCTCTGCAGCTTGCCCTTCCTTCCAGTAGGCCAGGGTTCTCTCTCCCATCTTTACCCCTTACCCACATCTCCCCCACATCCTCAGGATGGCTGCTCTATATCAGGTGTGAGGAAAATAAGTTATCCTCTTAAGTCCCACACTTGCATGAATTACTGTATAAACGCCTTAACTTTGGGAAATTATTTTCGTGTATTGCTAAACAAGTAAGAAAAATAAACCTGGGTGAATTGCTAAATGCTGGAATTTCAGGCAGCGTGAACAGGTGAAGTGAAACATCTTAGGAATTGGCAGGGAGTATGGACAAGGCTTTGGAAACCGAATTAGCAGATGCACCTCTGTATTTGTTTCCAGAGCACTTGGACTTCCAGAAGAGTGCATTTTACTTGAGCAGGCTTGTTCCGAAGGCAGATTCTTTGGCCACAACTCCTGAGATTATTTGGTCAGTTTGGGATGAGACCCAATAATCCATAGTGATGAATGAGGGCCACGCTGTGAGGAACACCATCCATTTCTGCTTTTATGCTGCCTTTTTTAAATTTCGGAGTTCACACATTTCTAAGGAGAGACCTGGAGAAAAATGACCAGGCAAGGACAAGGGGGACGATTTTATGTCAAACACTACACACCTAAAGCTCTGGACAAGTCCTCAATCTCCATGCTCTGCAGAGTTATTATAAAGTGGGAAGATTGGGTCAGAGCTCAGCAAAGAAACACTTAGTTCAGAAGCCTGGGACCTGGATTTCCTATAATACTGCACAAGTAGACAATCCTCCAGGAACTCGACTTGGAAGAACTGCACTGGACTTGGAAGAACTGCTGGAGGAAAACAGGTGCATGTGCATACCAATGGCCTAGCTCGGGATTGGCAGTCCAGAGCTATCCGGACTCTTTAATGATTAACTTTGTACTTGAAAAGGCAAAACAAACAAGAAAAAAAATTAGCCATAAAATGTCAGGGGTTTATAGCAAAAACAGCCTGGTAGTCTCTAGTTAGGGGTGCCAGCGCCCAATCCTTTCAACAGTTGTGTGGATTCGTTATTTCATTCCAATCAAAATTTTATCTGAAAAGCATGTTAAAACCAGTCATTAGTTTGGTAAAGAATACTTAATAAACCATGTAACTACTGTATATATACATACTGTGTGCTGTACAAACAATTATAGCATGGCATTTTTTCTATGTGACTCCACTTCACCTTTCTGAGATAAGAACTAAACTAAGCTCACCCATGTAGGTGATGGCTGGCGTGGCTTCGGTAATCAGCCTTGATTGCTGTTTCCACGGAGTAGATGGATGACGACAAACTAACCTAGCCAGCAGTCGTCTCTGCACCTTCCTTGTGCTGGGGCAGTTTCTCAGTCTTGGTGTCATCGTCCTCTTGTCTTGGGCACAGTCGCTGCCTCATGCCTTGCGGGATTCCTAGCAGCCTCCATGGCCTCTAGCTACATGATACCAGGTAGTAGCTTCCTCCTACAGTTGTGACAATCAACCAATGTCTCCGGACATTGTCCAATATCAAATATTCCTGGAAGGAGTATTTCTTAAGCACTTTTAAGCAAAGGTAGGTATTCATTTAAAAAATTAAGGAAAAAGCATGGTTAAAAGAAGGTATTATGTTTCTGTTCAGCCATTCTTTTGCTTTAAAAGTCTTAATAGAGTATAAGGCTTAGAAGGTATCCTGTTTAAATTCCCACTTTATGCATGGAAAGTCTCTAGGATGTGATAAAAACTTGAATTGCTTCAGGCATGACTGCCAACAAGCTTTGTAGAATAGTAACATAATAAAATAGCTTGATGAAGAAACTGCATTGAGGTTTAAAATTGTGCATCGCTTGTTTTAGTAGCAAAATGAGAACTAGCTGGACAGAAATTCTAGCTAGCAGTGTGATTCTTATAAAATAATGAAAGTTATCTATTAAATGTGAAGAGTAAAAAAAAAAAAAAAAGCTAAAGCCAGTTATTCTAACCACTAATGTGATTACACTAAAAATATAAAAGGTATTTTATAGTGTATTTATCCATCTTGATAAATAGCTATAACTCAATATATAAAAACCTCATACATTAAGACATAATTAAACAGAAGGCAGGATTCTTAAAACTAGAGGTTTTTGCTATAGGGTGCATGCATTTGCCAGAAAGACAAAGAGAGACAGAGAGATAGAAAGCAAGAAATCATCCCCCACCCCCACCCCCCGGGGGATGGCCATGCCCAATCCCTTCTCCTCCATTCTCCTCTCGGAATCTTGGGCACGCAAGCACACATGTTCAGCATGAGTTTAAACCACTGGGTCCAGGACTCGAACTGTGGTTGACTATATGGGAGTTCAGCAACATAGCCATTACGCTAACTGCTGGTCCCCCTGATCCATTTTTAACATTTCAATTTGCACACATGAAGCAATTGTAGGCACAAGACTATGCCTTTAGAGTACATTCAGGCATATCCATTTTAATAATTTTAAAGACGAATGTCCACATCTAGAGGTGACGGTGGGAAAGTCTGAAAGAAATGAAAATATGTACTACTTTAAACTTTAAAATGTAGCCATTATGTAAATACAAAAAGGTAGTTTCATACATACCTGACTTTGGCAGATTGAGTCAAAATGTAAGTGTATATATTGAACAACTGTGTTCGACTTGTATATTTTTGCAAGAAATGCCTTGAATATTTTCCTTCATAGATAATACCTAAGTCTTTGTTAATATGATAAGTATGTTTGCTGTTTTTGATTAAATGTATTTTTCCCTTTTTCTCCTCACCAAAACTATGAAAGTGAATGTATGCATGTTTGTACATAGGGTTAAACAATTCATTTCTGAGAAAGAAAAAAAATCAAACTGGAGCAATAATCAACATAAACTAGTTAATAGCTTTTCTTGTATCGAGTATGAGAATCCAACAGAACAGTTTTCATTTGTAAACCACTCTTTTCATACCACATTACTGAACATCATTAAAATAGTTCTGAAAACAAAGCTATTTTCTTTGGGTTTTGATTTTTACGAGTTATAGATTTTATGCTATTCACCTTATGCACTCAGTTTGCTTCAAAATACATTCAAGACTCAGTTTAAATCACTGGGCGCGTGTGCGTGCGTGCCCAAGATCCCGAGAGGAGAATGGAGGAGAAGGGATTGTGGTGTGGCCATCCCCCCTGGGGGGTGATTTCTCACTGTCAGTCTCTGTCTCTCTCTGTCTGGTGAGCGCACACGTTCTATAGCAAAAACCTCTCCAAAAAAAAAAAGAAGGCTGAGGATGCAATTAGCCACAGATATGGAGTTTATTACTTTCTAGCAATGACCAAAAAAAAACGTTCTGGAGGAGCCCATAGCTGCCCTCCATGTTCAGGGTCTTGTTGTAAAGCCCTGTTCCCCAAAAGGTAGTCTTAGACAGGCACCAGCATCACCTGGAGCCTGTCACAGAACACAGATCTCAGGCGACTCATATTATTGGGTAGTCGGGAAAGCCATGACACATTTTTGCATAGCAAAACAGAAAAATACAGCATGACTTTCCTGATGATGCGTTCAAGTTTGAGGAACAATGCTCTAAAGCAGAGCTTCTCTCTTGAAGTAAAATATGTGCTTAGAACAGAGAGAGGGGAAAAAAAGACCAGCCAAAATGCTTCAGCATGCAAAAACATTATCTGCATAACTTTAAAAAAATTTCAGTTGCAAGCAAAAAGGTCAAATATCTCTAAAGATGAAATATATTGAATTGAACATGCTGAAATGATAAAGATATACATCAGGCTCACAGATTTCCGTCATTGTTCTCAGATGGAGATTAATGCAAAGAACACGCGGGATGTGGGTGTGAATACCATCTACCTTGAAGCAGGAGCGTCTCCCATTTGTGAATCAGGTGCACCCTCGGGTGCCTTTGGCCCACCTCAGTTGTGGTGAATCAGCTCCTAAGGGCGGCAGAACCATTACCAAGCAGTGCGTTTGTTACGTGCTCCACATTAAAACGCAGTACAATGTTGGGAGGGAAAAAGCACTCGTTTTTCATTGATTTATTGAGAGAGAGAACCCCCAATAGAGTCTTGATGTGCAATCCATGCCCAGCCTCAGTCAGCCCCAGATCGTGGACACACATGTCCCCAGTGTAACCAGGGCGGTTCTCTGGACTTGCACATTCTCAGATGGGATTGCCTCAGAGGCTCCCTGCCGCACCACCATCTGTCCCCATATTAGTTGTTTTTGCTTTCACAGAGCAGGCTAGGAGATGTGGCTAAAGACCAGTACTCAAGCTACCATTCTGTTGTATACATGTACTTGGGAAATAATTTCCTATCGACTCACTTAAAAGTGAATCCTCTTATTTATTCTCCATCACCTGTTAAAAACTACAAACTGTAGATTTAAAAACTCATTATTTATCCTATCATGACGCCTTAGTATTTTAAATTAAGATACCAAAAAGATTGGACATCATCTTACACAAAATCAGAGCCTAATTTTCATTCAAGGATCCCTTCAGCCTTAAAGAAAACAGCTACTTAAACTGAGCTTCTTGGTTCTATGCAAAGAAAAATCTAAGATTCAAGATGCTCTTCACCCTCGCCCTGGCTCTCCTGCCCTCTGCTGGATGACCCACTTTACTGCACCCAAAGTAATACCACCTTCAGACCTTTAATGTACTAGATGCTCAGTAATTAGATGCCATAGGACAGCGAGTAGGGAACGGAGTGGAGGAGAAAAGTTTCACCTACCTAGTGATTCATTTAGCAGGTACTTTTTCAGATCCTTAGGCACTACAACTACTCATGAGTCGTGTTTGAGTTGGAACACGACACTTAACATCAACAGCAGTGGTATTCAAGCATTTGAGTACATGCTCAAAGCTCATGGGCCAGTAGGCATTGTGGTGACAGAGCAAAGGCTCTGATCTCCTGGCGTGTGTAGTCTAGTGACGGCAATAACTACATGTGGCACGCCAAGTATTAGGTACCACAACCAAATACAAAACAAAGTAAGGGGGCAGAATTCCAATTTTAAATAGCATAGGCAGAGAAGGCTCTTGAGTAATGTTTAATCAGACTAACATAAAATGAGGAAGCAGACTGAGGGAAAGGCTGGAGAAAGAGCAATTGAGAAGGGGCAGGGAAGGGCCCTTTAGGCAGGAAGGAATAAACTTGCCACAGAGTAGCCACAGCAAAGCAGCGAGCTTAGGCAAAAGTGAGGTGAGGGGCAGGCAGGGGCCCTGTGATGTGGGATGGGAGGCCATAGCGAGGATGCAGAGGTCCTAGGATGTGATTTGCTGGCATCAACTTCATAGTATCTCATGAGATGGTTTAAGCAGGGGAGGAAAAAGCAGCAGGGGGACTATCAGCAGGCCTGGGGGAAAAGACTAGGAATGTTGGCCTGGGGAGTCAGCAGGGGAGTGCGGAAGTGGCTGGTTCGAGATATGGCCAGGAATCTGTGTTCTAATTCTCTAACACATTCATTCAGGGATCTGAGCCCAAGACTCAAACTACTAGCTTCTTAATCGTTTTCTCAGAAAATACCGAACGTATTAGGTTATCTGGGAAACCCACGGCACTTTTTTTTATGCAAAAATGTGTCATGACTTTCCAGACAACCCAATATGACTCTAAACACCATAACCAAAGGAAAAAATATCCACAAAATATTTCACTTGGTGAACAACTACTATTATTTTCTTAGCATGAATTTCCTACTTCTTACGGGAACTCACCTAGTGACCACAGTCACAATTCCAAAGTGACCTTTAACCTTGTGGGCAAGGTTACAGGCTGATCTTTTTTTTTTTCCTAATATTTGAGCAGCCAAATTACAGAGATAGATAGGCTACATGTCAGAATAAGGCTAGCCCCTTAACATCTCAAACACCAATTAATTCTGCCACTGCTAAGAAAGCAAGGATCAATTAAGGCCCTATTTAAGTCCAGTGCAATTCACTAAAACCTTTCAAAGATGTTCCAGCCCAGTTCTAGCATGCCCCACACTAAATCTCTCACTTCTGTATTGCAGACTTTAAAAACATAATAGTCTGTCTCAGTCACAAACTTAGAGTAAAGCCTACATAATGAAGGAGTGATTTGGAAAAAAAAATGCTTAAAGAACACCTTATATTCTTTACAAACATAATCAGCCTCAATAAAGACCTTCTAAAGAAATTTTGAATAGAAAAACCTGAAACCCACATATATCACCTCAACAAAATACATAGTAAACGAACTTCACATTAGAACCATGGGTGCAAAGTCCAAGGAATGTCTACAGCAGCCCATTCATTCTCTGATGATGTACTTTCAGATATAATGCACTGACTGTCCAATGCCCAGCTGCTGTCCTCCAAGGGAGACAGGGGAAGTTCAGTCAAAGGCAGGAAGACGCACTGTATTGAGGGATTAAGGCTGAGACCAGACAGGCAACCCTAACGAAGGGAAGTGGACAGGTTCGTCTCCTTCCCAATACCTTTATAGCCCAATTTCTCAGGATAGGCCAAATACAGACATTAGGTAACCAGGAGATTCTTACAGTTGATGGGGCTGTTGTGTAAGTCCTGGCCAGAGAAAGGGTTGAGAACCTTCCCAAGGTATGGAAAGTTGGTAGACAAGGATTACTGGGTGTGTGCCTGGCACAGAACAGGCCTTCAACAAACACTTGGTGAATAATTGAGTTCCTTGGGTAAAAAAAAGTTTTCACTAGGCATAACAAATAGGTGTTTTTTTAAAGTTTTTGTTTTTGTTTTGTTTTGTTTTTTAATATATAGAGCACATGTGCTCACTGTAGAGAGACAAAAGGAAAGGGAGAAATCACCTCTCAAGAAGGATGACCATGCCACAATTCCTTTTCCACTCTCCTCCTGGGATTTGGGGCACACATGTACACACACATACCTGGCTTGAGTTTCAAGCCACCAGATCCAGGATTTGAACCATGGTCAACCATGTGGGAGTCCAGTGCCTTAACCATTATACCACCTGCTAGCCCCAAAATAAGTTTATTTGTTGTACCAAAAAAAAAAACTTTAATGGAAGGGTCTGAAATATAGTTTTTGTTCTTAATGTATACAGTGAAAATTTTCTAATGATACCAATTGTATGCCAAGAAGATTTCATTACTGTAAGAACTATTTATGTAGAGTTGAAATGTGCTAAGAAAGTAGATCTTGGGACCAGCAGTTGGCGTAATG